ATCGGGTTAAGAAGCTACCAAGGAGGACACCATGGGCACCCGCAGGCGCATGCCGCATGCGCAATGGGGCACACCACGCCCTCGCATTGATGCACTCGGTAGCACCCTAATAGCAACCCAAGTTACACCAAATTTTTGAGATCAAAATGGGATTATGAGGGTTTAAATGACATTTTTTGAAAAAAAGTTGTGAAGTGACCCCCCCCCCCCCCCGAAAATCATGTCTTCCATACGATCATATTGAAAGAAGTTCTTATTTTTCAAGGAAATGACCAAAATACCCTTAAGATCAGATTTTTCAAAAAATACAAAAATGCATGTAGCTCCAAGTGTTCATTTCACCAAGTTTGGTGTTGTGTACAAAAATAATCATGCACACAAACGTAAAATATATATTTAAGCGTGTTACAATGGCCTATAGCTTTAAGACATGTCATTTACAAATTTTCACATACCAAACCTCCAAATTTCATAATTTTCATAAGTAAACTAAGAAAACAAAGCGCATAAAAGTAAACTTAAAGGTAAATGGACCTTGGCCTCATTATATACATGTCAAATAAGTCTCAAAAAGTGCACTTAAGTACACATTACATATTTCAAATGAAAGATACAAGTTTCGGCATATCAAACCAAAATAAAGACAAATATATACAAAATTACAAGGGCCACTTGTATATGCCAAAATGTGTGTGTGATAGTGAGTGTGATTCAAGAAAGCCTTTTTGGTCAAGTTTAAATTTATAAAAGCCATAACCACTTCTACTACTAACGTAGCAAGAGTGAGTAGGGATCGTCCTAGAGAATTTGCAAGATACTATGGAATAAATATTGGATTAGTAGGTCGAATGATCAAATAAAGGTTTTGGTTGGTTGAATCAACTAATAATTTAATTAAAAACATGCAAATGAAGATCAATCTAGAGATTAAGGTAAAGAGAATGAGAGAAAGGTCTTGGGGCATAGAGTTCACCACTAAGTTTTACTTCACTAAACATTAGCAATTGTCAATTTAAGGGGAGTTTCATGTTGTAAAACAAATGTGTGTGTGCCATTAATTGAAATACAAAGCATGGATGACAAATTAAACATAAATTGTCCAATCAATCTAGTAAGTAGCACAACCTATCAAACTAAGCCATTAATCATTCAATAAACCCACAATTAATGCACACACATAAATATAGAGAAATGTACTACTTGCACTCATAAGCATGGATCATCAAACAACAAGAATAGATTGTCAACCTATCTAGGAAATTAAAGCAACTACACTACAATTATACTAATGACTTGGAAATTAAACTAATTAAGCTAAGGAGGTAGCACAATCCATAAAGAAATAAGCATGATCCATCAAACAAAGCACAAGAGTAATCAATTAAGTACCATGCCTTGACCATCACTAGATTTATAATTCCAACACACATAGACATGCATCAAACTCATAAAACCTAGTGTAAGCACATGACCATTCATTCTAGCAAACATAGACATATTGATAGAAATAAAAGATCAATTAGAAGAATTAATCCATACAAATCATGTAGAAACTCAAGATCTATATAAATTCATGGTCAAAACATCATTTACAACTAAAATCCATAAAAATTACAAAATACTAAGTTTAGGAAACAAGCCTATGGGGTATCTCTAGCCCCAAGAGAAGGATTTAGCCACTCATGGTAATGGTCATGAAACCCTTAAGGGTTTTTTTCAATGTAGGCACCATCTTCTTCCTCCTTGCTTTTCTCCAAAACCCTAGTTCTAGAGAGAGAAATATCTAAGAGTTATTTCTATAATTGGTAATAAAATTGTCAACCTTATACAAATTAGTTCATTTAACTTTAATACAAGCCTCTTTGAGTAGGTAACAAGTCAGAAATAAGGCCTTTGATTGGTGCAAACTCGCAGGTACAAAAGTTGGTGGAGTTCGAACGCGATTGGGAATTAGACAGCCCACTGCCAGCACTTGCTTCGATCGATCAAAGCTTTCTTCGATCGATCGGACACTTACTTTGATCGAATTGAAGCTGACATGGCAAGATATTTTGGATAACTGGCAACCTTATCTATTGAGCTGGCACCGCCTTCATCTCGATCAATTGTAAATATCTTTGATCGATCAGGACTTCCTTCAATCGATCGAACCTTGAACAGTATAGTTTTTCTGACTTTTTCTGGATCTTCCTCTTAATTCCAAAATTGAGCTAAAAGGCACTTTTTAGCCTGTTTGAACCTTATTGACCTGAAATAGACAAAAACACAAATTAAAACTAAAATGGGAAAGTAAGATAGATGAATGGATTAAAATACCCTCGTTTAGGTGCTAAAATGCATCACATTTGAGCACTTATCGCACCCCCAAACTTTGATATTGCTAGTCCCTAGCAATGAACAACAAAGAAAAGAAAGAAATTAACAACTAAGTAACTATGAACTAGAAGGCAATGAAAGAATAACGCCATTTTCATAGGGAACACGATTGAATTTAGCATATGCAATAAGCCTTTTAAACCCCTAGGTGACCCCTAGTGGACAAGTGAAGTCTCGTGAGGGTTTATAGAAATGATACCCACAAATATTAAGCTCTTTCTTATTAAAGAGGCACCAACATACAAAGCAAGTATTGGGAGAAAATAACCTCAAGTATGCAATTTTTCAACCATCTCTAAGCAATTCTATAAAATTTCAATACCAAGCAAACAAGTATGGTCCTCCACATATCAAGAGAATGATCATGCAAATCAAAACAACTCTAGAATCCTTTCTAAGTGAACCAGCATCAAATATGTTACTATCTAAGCCAACTAAAGAAATGATCACATCCGGCCTCAAGCTAGCCCATAAATCTAGTACCGATCATTAAGACAAAGAGTGAACATTTTATTAAACCTTTATTCAAATAGGTGCACTTATTCTTTTTACTCAATTTTTTTTAATTTTTTTTTATTTTTAGGATCAAAGATGGAAGCATGGTGCAATGTAGTGATCTCTTAAGCTTTCTAGAAGATTCACGAGGCGAGCATTAGGTCAATCTCCCAAACCGGACAGCTTTAGGGCATTAGGTGTAGAGACACCCCTAAAGACTTATAAGCTCAAATCAACTAGACTACAAATCAAAACTACCTCCATCTAATCATTTCCCACTCCTCACCTTTGGTAAGAAGTCCTCACTTATTTGCTTTTGTAAATATCTTCTTTATTTATTTTTTTTCTTTATTTTTTTTAATCTAGAGTTTGGGCCCTCCACCTTCCGGTGTGAGAATTCAATGCTTGATGAGGCTAGAATCCTGGATACTTAGTGAAAAGACTTTGCTATCCACCTTTGTCAAGAATGAAAACTTTCAAAGCACAACTAGCTCTATTAGGATATAACCAAATCAATAATAAACAAAACATGTACCCTACAAATGAATGCTAATATGCGCCTGTGTTAGTCTAGAATCCTAGACTGAATCTCAAAACAATCATAAAATCAAGATGATGTGGACCACAAATGCAAGCAAGATAGCAATCTTTTAAAAAAATTACTCCTAAATGGCATCCATAAGGCATGCAAGGACTATTGGACTCTCAAGTCAAGCAATTTTTAAATTCTTAGTATCATGGTCCTCAAATGATTAAAATCATAGCTAAAAACTCTCAAGTCATACCACATACATAGAAACTAAGTGCGACATGTAAAATATGCTAACACACCACCAAACTTAATCTGTGCATTGTCCTCAATGTACAAAGAAGTAACAGATAATGGAAATAGTATACCAAATGGGTGTAACAAATAGGACTCGGCAATGAAAGGTTAGCATTGGAAGGCGCACCCCCAAACTTAGATTCTAAAAACCTGTCTGAAAATGGTCACACTAGCAACTATCAAAGCATATGCATCAATGATATAAATGAGAGGTGAAACTGAGAACTGGGCAAAAATCATAGCATATAGCAGTGTAAAACTCAGAATATCCAAAATCGAAATCAATAATATGATACATTCAAAAATCCAGAGATGCTGATAAATCTAAAACCAACATCCAAAAACCATATGTATCAAGTGTAATGCAAAATATCCAGTGCAAAGTATCAAAACGGTGCAAAAATATCCCAGAATAGCAGTGTATCAAAATATATCATAGCATGGAAAAGTAATAGAGAGAGAATGGTGGAATTAGGGTGCAACATCCGGTGCCATTATATCGGCAATGACATGGAGCATATCGGACATCTCTCGGCTATGTCGAGTGAGCGATGTCTGAATGTCCATCCACAATGTGGAAATATCTTACCTCGCCTTAGAAATGTCGGTCCTCAAATCGTCAGATCGCTGGACTAAATCATCATGCCTCCTCACCAAATCATTATGATGCCTCGTGATGTCATCGTGCCACCCTGTCATGTCAGCTCTAAACAAAATAAAATCTTTATGTAGCTAAAATAGATTAGCTCTATAGCTAGAGTCTGAACTGGCATGATGGGATCGAGTGTCGGCCTGGGGCATCGGCTCTGTAGGAGGGACATGTGAGGGGCTGGCCTGCTGAGATGAATGGGTAGGGAGAGGTAGATTTGGCTGCGAGGTAGATGTGGAAGTATCAATGCGATGCTGTTGTCTAGGTCTGGAAGAAGGTGATCCCGGGAATCCCTCGTCTGCATCCTCTGCGGCTCTCTGTTGGGCTTTCTCCCTTTTCTGCTCTCTATTTTTCTTATTCTTGGTACAGTCATTGAGGTCTTGGTCCACTTCGTCATGTCATATGCCTTTCTTGCTCTCTGCGCGACAGTCTTTGGAATCTCAGTTGGGTCAAAGGAATAACCCTGGTCAATTAGTAGCTGTGTAATCAGGTGGCCATATAATAAAGGCCAAACATCAGCTCTAGAATTGTGCTTGAAGATCAGATTTTCCTAGAACTTGTGAATAATCTCCCAGATAAGAGCAGGAACTGAAATCCAGCAACCCTGGCTCAAATAGTATAGGGCCTGTAGAATCTCATCCCATCTATGTGTACCATGTCCTGAAGGGAAGGCATTGAGATGTAACACAAAATCTAAGAACCAATATCGGGGATCAATATCAACCCGGTCTGAAAATGTATTGCCTTCAAAGGCAGCCTATGGAGATAGTGTTGCAACCATGGTCATCATTAAGGAATAAGTAGGAATAATAGGGTACAGTAGATCCTTAGAGTTAGTGACCAATGGAGAAATATGGAGGCATCGGCAGGCAGTAGCAATGGCAGGGATATAAACGTCAATGACCTGACCATCAATGGTCATATGCATCAACTGCTGGTCATCCTTATCCATCTAGATATGCTTAAAAAACAAAACAACCTACCGGGGATAGACTATAGTGTCTGCCAGAGTCATAATAGCATCGATGCCCCTATGGGTGAGCTTATCACAAGACCATTGTGTCTGCTCCAACCCAACAAATAAATCTCAGTCAAATCTAAACTCCGGCTTTAATTTCCTACCGGAGTAAGAGAGAGAGGGCACCGCTCTGATAATAGGACTTTGTGCCTCCATGAAAGATGGCTTGAAAGAAGCAGAAGCAGATGTGGTAGGCTCAGACAAAGGTGATAACTCCTCCTCAGGAGATGGAGGAGGCTGTATAGCTCTGACCACACACTTTCTGGTAAGAGTCTTCTGCCTACACTGCATCTGCAAAAGCAACAAGTATAAATCAGTGCACAAGTATAAAAGTAGGCAAACACCTGATAAGAAAACATAAAGCATGCCGAAATCAAGTATAAATAAAAAATCGAAATATAGAATCATGCTCGTGTAGGAAGTGATCAAGAAAGCTTCAAGAATATCATTCAACAAGCTTTGACAAGATAGAATAGATCATGGCACAATAAGTAATCTTAGGTGTGCAAAACAATGCAATGATAGTATAGAGGGTAGAAAAGTCACTTTTAGAAATATTTGAGCAAAAATGGGATCAAAAGGACAAGTATAGGATGTGATGTGCATAAAGGATGCAACGTGCATTTATAAACCTAAAACTCAACAAGATTCTGCAATTTCATGGCAAGTAGACCCTAGGATGACATCGTATCAATTCCTAAGCAAGAATGTCTTCAAATTTAACATTTAAGACAGATGAAGTAAGCATGATAATATGGAGAATACAATCATAGCAACTGTCTACCTAGAACTCAAGAATCGTGTATATCACAAAATAAAGACTAAGTGAATTGCATGGTTGCAAAACACTTTAATCCTAGGCATGTTATGATACACAAGTTCATAAATGAATCCTAAGCATGGTATGCAACTACATGGCATATATCTGAATGATGCACAAATATCAAAGTTAAACTCTAGTTAAAGAAATATCCCACACTCCATTTCAACAAAATCAACATCCTATGATCACTCATGGCTCGTGTCCCCATCTAAGCAATAAATAAGCAGAAAATTGATTGCTTATGGCTCGCAACCCCTTTTAAAGCTTAAATGAAGCAAAGAATGGTCAAAGATTGAGAATAACAAGAGACTTACCATTTTTGAATCAAAATCATGACCGGCAAAGAACCTCGGTCTCAAGCTCTTACTAGCTTTCAAGAAATGGATCACAAGTATATAATCAAGTAGATGGCAATTTAACAGACATTTTCCAAGACAAAGCAACATATTCCTAAACTTACTTCAAATGCCAGTTTAAAAGTTTAAGTTAAGCTCAAGAATAGATACTAAGGCCAAAGAACAACAATGACATCCCAAACATGCATTTTTAACTCCAAAAATTCATATCCTTCCCCCAAACTTATTCAAAGATCAATGTCAAAAATATTTGTTCAAAATATGCACACAAGCTTTCAAAACCATCAATGTGACAAAAGTGTGTGCAAAACGTTTATATACAAGCAACAAGCTTCAATTTATTCCAAAATGTACATAATTATTCAAAGAAGATCACATTTAACAAGTTTCAAGCTTATCAAGCAACATTGGAACATTTGACTTCAAAAAATTTGGTTTGGAATCGTAATTCAACACATTTTCCAACAAAAGTTCAGATCATGACAAGTGGGGTCAAAAGATATCACACTTGTGCCCTAGCATGGCAAGAATCAGATATTAAGTACAAACAAGTTCAATAGCACTTAGCACATGCAATTGGACAGAAAGAAAACAAATGGAACAAGTTTCATCTCATTCAAGGGCATTTTGGTCAACTTCTGGAATTTTAACACTTTTGGGGCAAAATTGGAATTTTTGAAAACTTTGGGGTCTAAACATTCAAATGCATTGTAGATAAGATTGATAACAAGAATCATGCATTGAATAGTCAACAAATGAAGGAATTAAGCAACTCGATTTCTCATTTTCAAAACAAAGTTCAAAAATTCCTTTTTAACATTTTAAAATCGACAAGTATGATCACAAAGGCATTTCAGCATTCAAGAATCACTTTGCCAAAACAATGCACCTTAACCATGAGCAAGAGTCAATTTATGATAAAAAAACTTTCAAAAGTTGCCATTTGAAATCCATTTAAGCAATTTATCATCACTTTGCATTTTCAAGTTCAAAAGCACAAGTTTTAATTCAAGTCATGCTTGCATGCATTTAAAACAATTTGGAATCAAATAACATCCATGCATTTCATATTCAACACAAACAAATGAAACAAGTTGGGAATCATGCTTATTAATAATCAACTTCATATGCCATTGCAATTTCAAAATTTCCAAGAATTTTTCAAGTTCAAAAATTTTCCATTTTCAATTCAAATCTCAAGAACTTCAAAACAATTTCTTTTTATTAATCATGCTTCCATTCCAAATGACATGATAAGTGCCAAATATTACATATTCAAGCACCCTTTCTTGCATTAATTAAGTCCATTATTAGAGGATAATGTACAGTTTTAATTCAGTTGTGTATTTCTTTCTGCTTTCAGGTATTTTTCCCGAGAATGACCAAAGAAGCAGTTTTGACATCATTTGTGTTGAAACACGTGCGCCGTGTCAGGGAGTCATCTTTTGGACCGAACCTCTTATGTTACAGTTTTTATGAAGCCATGGCTTAGTGTTTATTGTGCTTCTAAGATAGAAGCATGTCCACGATCCGGTTTGATGAAGCTTGCAAGTAGCATGGTCAAAGTTGCAAAGGCAAGCTCCCGCGGGCGCCCGCCAAACCCCTCTACTCTCTGCCAGCTTTCGCGGGCCCTTGCTCAGCTCCCGCAGAAGCCCCCGCAAGCCACCCCGGGTGCCCGCCGTGCCATCACGGGCACCCACCAAACACACCAGCATAGCCCTCGCGAACCCAAGCCCCCGCCGGCGCCTCGCGGGCACCCGCGAAACTGCAGTAGGCAGTTCAACTGCCCCTGATTTTTAGTTTTTTGGTCCCCCTATCTTTCTTTTGTGTGGTCTAGCTTCATGCAGAGGGGAGAGCTCGGGATTATGAGTATGGGGAGTAGGTTTTGGATGGATAAAGAGGGGAAGGTGATCTCATATCTCATATCACATTTTTGGAGAAACTAGAGAGAAGGTGGAAAGGTTTTTGTGTTCTTGGAGTTAAGGTGCAGCAATAGAGTGTTCTTCTTCATTCTCTTCCTTCTTAGCATTAATGGGTAACTAAACCTCCATTTAGGGAGGTGATGAAACCCTTCTTTGTAAGCATGTTTAATTTTTGATTTATTTTGGGGAATGAAATGTATGTATGGCCAAGTTCCATAATCTGGAGCATATTACAATTTGTAATGAATATTTTTAATTATAAATGATCATGTTGAATCAAATGTTCTTGTCTTAGATTATTTATTCTCATGGTTGTATAGCTAGTATTTTCATAGTGACAATGGAAACAAGATTTTGGAATGGTTCTAATGGCATGGTTTTTGAGGAACTTGTTAATCCATAGCTTAAGACTTTCTTTTGATGGGTTAATCTTGCATCTTGATTCCATATGCTTTCACCATTTAATTAAGGGTTTGATAATCTCTAGCTTAGCAAGCATGTCTAAGGTTACACCATAGTCTAGGTAGCTCAAGCATGTGAAGTTTTGATAGGTTATTCTTACCTTGTGATTAAATGAATTTCTTGAAGATATTGTAGTAACTATGTGTTGCTATGTATCATGGTCATGTATGTACATTAATTCCCCAAATCAATTATTTATTTAGCATGTGTAAAGGGTAAGAGTGGATTCACTTCCCTAGACCTCTCTATCTAGATCTTTTCTTTCTAAACTCCTTGCAATTTAATGTTTTATGCATTTTTCAATTCATAATCTTAAGTGACAATCCAACAAATCCTCTATAACCCCCTTTATCATTTAAAAAATGACTCTAGACACCTAAGTTGCCATAAACTAGCAGTTCCAGTGGTTCGACTTACCCGACCAATAGCCCTATTTTACAATGATTTGTGCTATTGCAAAATGGGTTGGTTTATAATTGTAATCGATTCGTCGATCAATTTTTTGGCGCCGTTGCCGGGGACTGCACACGATTTAGCAACTAAAGTTCTAAGGTTAATTTTGGTTTGATTGTCAATATTGTGATTTGTGAATATTTCTTATGCGGTTTTGACCATCTTGGTGTTGAAAGTTGTTTGTGAGATTCTAGGGACTTGATGCTCGCCAAGGGAACGCTAGCAAATTTGTAAGTCTAGAGGACTTCGAGTAAGTCTCTTGGCCTTCTAGTTTCGAAATTGTTAATATTATGCATGTGTAAATTTGGTGATAGTTAAGTTATGAAGCCCTTGTCGAGGCTATTGTCTTGTTTATTTTCAATTGCAAAGCATCGGTCCTTATTGTGGCCATTTAATTTCTGTCTAAATAATTGAGGAGAAAGGGAACATCATATGTGGAGTTGATGGTGATGAATTATTGTATTGATTATGGGGTGTGTTGTTGATGTTTGGCCGTATATCACTCTCCCTACCAACTCTAGAATTGCCAGTTGACATAAATTCTCTTGAAAGAACTCTTAGATGAACCCTTAGGGAATCTTCTCATATAAGAGAGCTTGAAACTGAATTTAACACAATGGATGAAAATGTAGGAAATGTTGGGAATGAATGGATTAATAATGATAGGGTCGAAATTCCAAATGTGGTTCCCATGACTCTTAGGGACCACTTCATCCCTACCACGTACACTTCTCCCTCTTGCATAGTGATGCCAAATATTGAGGCCGCTCAATTTGAAATCAAATCTAGCACCATCCAAATGTTTCCATCTTTTCATGACTTTGAAAATGAGGACCCTTATAAGCACCTTGATGAATTCCTTGAAATATGCTCTACCATCAAGCTGAGGGGCTTTCCTGATAATGCTCTCCAATTGCA